GTGTGTGTGTGTGTGTGTGTGTGTGTGTGTGTGTGTGTGTGTACACAGGATGTAATTGTGTGAAAATGACTGATGTCCTTTGCATTTGTCTACGCAAGCGATGGCAAAGCGGTGACAAAGAATAATGAATGTGTGTGAGAGAGTGTGTGTGTGTGAGAGAGTGTGTGTGTGTGTGTGTGAGAGTGTGTGTGTGTGTGTGTGAGTGTGTCTGTGAGTGTGTGTGTGTGTGAGAGAGTGTGTGTGTGTGAGAGAGTGTGTGTGTGTGTGTGTGTGTGTTTAATGCATTTATTGAATCGTGTGCAGGTCAGCATCAGTGTGTGACCTACATCCCTCTGGGTGAGTCTGATCAGTGAGGAGGCAGGGGGTGATGTGGGCTGACAGTCGAGACTGAAAGAATCTAAAACTCCTGAGGGTGTGTGTGTGTGTGTGTGTGTGTGTGTGTGTGTGTGCGTGTGTGTGTGCGTGTGCGTTTGTTCATACACACCTCAGAGACTTCCATCTGTCCTTCTCCATGTTGTTCTCAGGACCTTCGCTGTCGTACGACGCCAGATACAAAGCTGCCATTAGAGGAAGAAAAAAATCAATAAGCATTAATGAAAAATGATTTTTGAAGACGTGTCGTCCACAAAGAAAAAAAACAGATTCCTGACATGAAATATCATGTGATTGTGATTTAGCACAAAGGTTCTACATCATTCATTCATTGTCCTCAACCGATGAGGTCATCACCTCTGCTGCGAAGGTTACGTTTTAATGGAAGAAGCTTTGAAATCCTGGAGCGGATCAAGAAAAACAGGAATCTCTTTCACTTTCCGTGCTCTCTGAACGCTCCTCTACGACACTGATTGATTCATGAACTGACTCACCATCTTCAGGTAGCACGGGGGCCGTCAGCAGGTACTGCAGGATCTTACGATCCTTCTCAAACGGACACTCCACTTTCTTCCAGGCCATGAATTCACTCACTTGTTTGGCGAGTTCCCAGAATTTCTGAAATGAAACCGTAAATGGACGAAGGTGAATATGAGTTAACATGTCAACCGTGTATGTATTTCTACTTTACTTCATGTTCCAAATACAACACCCCCCCCCCACCCCCCCCGCGCTGCCTTTGAGCAAGGTATTTAACCTTGTACGGCTCGCGGTGGTTTCTCAGTCAGCTGTTCTGAGGTGTTAATCTGTTCGCGTGTGCGAACGTCATCGACAGAAAAAGGCTTCGGCCGAGTTTCCCAGGATAAAATTAAGATTTAAAAATAGAGTCTGAATCAGTGAAGCTGTGAGTAAAGAGCAGTGGAAACTCTCCAGTGTTCAGTGTGTTTGCTCCATGGAAACACAGCTGAACTTCACACACTTCTTCAATCTCAACACTCTTTTAGGGAAGTGGAAACAATCGTCACCGAATCCGTCGCCTCGCGCGGTGACGATTTCTGACACAAGACGTCGAGGGTGTAAAACTGTTGACGGGAAACTCCCTGTGGGGAATTTAAAACTCAGCTCACCTCAAAGTTGATGCGACCGTTCTGCAGCCTGTTGGCACATCCCTCGTTCAGGAAGTAGATGTCTTTAATGAGCAGGCTGAAGAAAGGGATGACGATCTGCAAGAAAACAGAGAGAGGGAGAGATTTAGTTTCACTGAGGAGACGTGAAGGGGATTTCCACCCAACACACTGTGTGTGAGATCTCTGTAAACATGGAGTCAAAATCTTTTACAGAAAGACTCACTTCTGTTTTCATCATGACGTTAAAATGAAAATAAAACCACGAGCTTTCCAACGTGTAGCAGCGTGTTTGTAAAAACAATTACACAACAAAGTTTCCCGAGACAAATTCCTCCGATCACCAACAGAGAAGTGAGATGTTTGACCAAGTGAACCCAGTTCAGTGTGTCTGTCAAAACAAGAAAAGCTTGAGGTGTCTGGACATTACGTCCGGGGATGTTTGGTCACGTCTGTGCAGCGTGTGAAGTCTGCGGTCACGTATGAACACACGTATGTAGCAGCAGAGAGGAAGTCATTTTCACAGCTGGACACAGAGAGAGTTGAGGGCCTGGAGCCAGAGTCTGGATTTATTAGATTTATTTTTACGCTTGTTAATGTTGATCAGCTGGTTTTTGTTGATTATTCTCTGCATTCCTATTTTCTATTCCTCTTATTTTATTCATCCTGTTGAGCTCTCATCATAATCTGGGTGTCTCACTATTTGAAGTTTCTGTTTGTAAAGTAGAAGCATGTGTGATTTAACTGGATATAATTAGAATCCAACTGCTTTGGTTTCATTTCAATCTTTGATCGAAACGAAGCATTAACTTTGTCTCTGTTGACAAGTTCAACAGCCGAGTGGACGCCTGGCGAACATACGCAGCGCCCCCCACCCCCGCCTAAGAGCAGAGGTCACAGGGGCAAGAACATACCAGACTTCTTGGGAACTTTCCGTTTCATGACCCCGACCTCTTGTCTGTTTGCATTATGAGAGCTCCAAAACAAAAACACCACATCCCCTCACAAACCTCAGGCAGCCAGACACTGACTGACGGTAAAACTCCTATTCAGCATGCGATGACGTGAGGGGAGGATAACCACTAACGCCTGGCAGCCCGCGAGCTCGGAGCTGGCACGGACAGGGCGGGGGAACCAGAGAGGCAGCGGGGAACGCTATGTGATCTGGCAGGCCGCCATGTTTTCTCTTTCCTTCACAGCGTGTTTGATGAGGAGGAAAACCAAGACGCTCGTCAGATCCTGACCCATTTATAACTGTCCCCTCGGAGCGCTGCACCGTTATGTAACCTCTGTCCCGCGTCCAGGTTCACTGGAGACGCGCTGATGTTGAACCTCGATGGGAACGCGGCGTCCAAGCGCTAACGAGACACAACAAACTGCGCTGGTTTGTTTTTCTGCTTTGACTCCGACCGTTTCCTTCATGTTTGCTGTTGAACTACACACGAAGATAAACATCTCATCTTTCTACTTTACTGTAATCAGCTTAAAGTGCCTCGGCTGCAGAGACGTCACCAAACACTCTGAGAATCCTTCGTCCAAACTGACGTGTTCCTCTGCTGCTGGAATTTGAACCTTATTTTAACAAACTGGATTTTAAATGGTTTATTAAATTCTCCCTCTTTGGTTCTTCGCAGCACCGAGAGTTCAGATTTGAGCTGAACTACAAATGAACCAGTTCAAAAAAGTCGAGGTTAGATTATTTATCTGTAAATACGAAGCAGCGAGCGTGGCCTCACCTTCTCTCGGCTGCTGTTGGCGGTGATGGATCTCTGCGTGGCTCCTCTCAGAGCCGTCCTGTAGTTGTAGAAATTGCTGGAAGGATCCATCTGATGCTAAGAGGAGAAAAAAAAAAAACAACACAGTCAGTTTAAGTTAAATTCAGCTCCGGTCAGAACTCGACTAACAAACCGAGGTGTCGCTGAGAGACGAGTGGATGTGAGGGAGCAGCTGCCGACATGTTGAACAATTCCAGTCGTTCAGATTGAATAAAGATGTGATAGGATTAAAAAATCTAATACATTTCATATATAACATTTGTCCGGAACATTTCACACTCTGGTTTTTAAGGTTTTTAAGAGTTATATCCTTTGAGTGTTTCAGGACAGGTGCAATATTCACCTCACTTTCATTCTGCATTATTATTCTGGGTCTTAGACGATATGTCCTTGTGAACGGTTTTTGTGTTTTTTGTTGTACAATGTTCTGGGACAATAAAGTGTATTTGATTTGATTGAAGGTGAGCGACAGACAGGAGGAGGAGGTGAGACGTGACGGAGGAACTTTAAAATCTGGTTTAATGGAAACTCACCTCTAAGATGTCGAACTTTGCCGTCTTGACTTTACTCCAGGTTTTCTTCAGTCGAGACACAGGACTCATGTTCATCCCAGCTGCAGGACGGACACACACACACACACA